ATGTTATAATATATATATATATATATATATATATATTAAATTAATCTAATAATCTATAAATAAGCTTACATTTCATAAATTAAAAAAATGAAAATTGAGGTTTTTGTGAGAACCTTTATTATAAAGTTTTTGTGAGAACCTTTATTATAAAGTTTTTGTTGAAATGACAATGATGTAAAAGGAAAAAATATGTCAGATGAGGTTTTTAAATATTCCACCACTATGGCTGCTCTAATATTCATCTTGCTATTATCTAAGGAAAAAAATAACATAGTGCGGTTCTTATATATATATATATATAGAGAGAGACACGAAGGGATTTGGACACTTGATCACTTTTAATCTCAAATCAATTCATGAAATTCGATTTAAAAAGAAATTGATTTAATGGAACTCTTCAATTATGATTGATCTAATAGTGAAGATTCTTTATTCTTATCCTTGTCACCAAAACTCTCATTCTCACATGAACTCAACCGTAATATATATTTATATATATATATATATAATTTTAAGAAACGACAAATGTATATGCAATCCGGTCTTTGGATTAATTGGTATTTTGTGGTATACAAATAGCTTAGAATAAAACAAAAAGCATGTAAAAGCTCTTAGAGCGTGGAAGAGTGAAGGTTGATGAGCACGCAACATCATTAGCCGCCCTCTTCAATTTTGACAATTTTTTTTTATAAAAAGTAATAATTACACCTAACATAAAGTATTATCATAATTTTAAATATTTATACTCATCTTCTATAAATATTTAAATCATAATAAATAATTTTTTATTATTTTAATAAATATTTTAATTCATTAAATTATATTGGTTATACAAATAAACATGGTTTTACTTAAAATATATCTTAATAAAATATTACATAACAATTGAAGGATAAGGATAACTGAATAAATGAAGACAGCCTATGCCCATCCCCTTGTATTAAATACATATGCATTCTTTCAATTTTAACTGTATTTCATTTCTTCAATCTCATGGATCTGATTAACAAGTTGTTGTTGGACTTTGTTTTCCCCATGCTAACTGTCACCCTTTTATTATTCCTTTGGCCGGCGGAGTTGCTGTTCAAGTTTTTCAACTACCTCCTCAGATCGGCTTTCCATGAAAAACTCGCCGGAAAGGTAGTTCTCATCACCGGAGCTTCTTCCGGTATCGGCGAGGTAATTCATATTCCTTCTTATTATATATGATCGTCAATAACTCCACATCATTTCAACTATTTAACATGTTTGTCAATTCATTCACTAGTATCTGGCATATGAATATGCGAAACGAGGAGCGCGATTGGCGTTGGTTGCAAGACGAGAGGAGCTATTGGATGTGGTTGCCGGGAAGGCCAGGGAGATCGGATCGCCCGACGTCGTTGTAATCTCTGCGGACGTTTCCAAGCTCGACGACTGTAAACGCTTCATCGACGAAACCATCAACCATTTCGGTACATGTGAGTATTATTAACAAACTCCCTTCTTAGTTGCTTGTTTTCTTCCATTCAGCCAACTAAACCCCAATGTTGGATTTGCAACAGTGGATCATCTGGTAAACAATGCTGGAATCTGCTGGGTTCAGGATCAGGACCAAAGATGTGTCTCAGACTATGTTTCGATCATGGTACTCGTCTGATTCCATTATCATTACAAGATAACGAACAATTGGCAAGAATTGAGTAGAATGTTTTGGTTATAGGACATAAACTTCTGGGGTTCGATTTATACGACCCAATTTGCAGTTCCACACTTACGAAAGACGAAAGGCAAAATAACCGTCGTTGCTTCTGCTGCTGGATGGTTTCCTAGTCCAAGATTAAGCATTTATGGTGTAAGAATTAAGAACCCTTGTTAGATAACACATCTGAATTTTGTGTTAGTTATTGGCTACTCCATCATCGGCTTTCAGGCTAGCAAGGCAGCACTAATAAGCTTCTTTGAGACACTGCGAATCGAGGTTGGTTCAGATATTGGGATAACGATTGTAGCCCCGGGACTCATCGAATCACCAATCACAAACGACGAATGGTTATCACAGGTACCTGCCTTCATTACTTTCTCTAACTTCTATTTCTAGTATGATCTATGTTAATTTATAAATCTATAGTAATATACTAATGTGGCTGAGTCTGAGCAGACAAACTTAGAATGGATGCCATTGGCATCGGTACAAGGTTGCGCGAAAACAATTGTGGATGGCGCGAGCCGTGGAGACGAGTACTTGACGTTGCCAGCATACGTGAGGGTGTTCTTTCTATTGAAACTACTCTGTCCTCGGATCCTACAGTGGATTGTTCGTGTTTTGATCGTCTTCCGTTCAAAGGATCCTCTACTCAACGGGAAACCCCGTAGCAGCAGCAGCAGCAGCAGCTGCTCGGATTCAGCCAAGTTAGAGTGAAGTCACGATGTGATTGTGATCATGAAGTACGTTAGTATCCACATTTGTAGCAACATTAATCAATGAAATGTACTGAAAACCCAAGTTCTTAACACCCCATGTACACAATAATTAAGAGGTTAATACCTATCCATGTTTACTTGTATCTATCTGTATCACAGTTATAGCAAATTATTCAAAACTCAATGTACAAAAATGGTCAAAATCAATATATAGAGAGAGAGAGAGGAGCGATCAAATGAAAACCATTCAATTTGTAAAAACCGTGAAAACCTTATTCAACCAATCATAATTTTTCATTTTGTTCATTTTTTTGTAATTATGAGAGGTTGATTGACCATTTTTATTGTGGATGGTGTTAATCATGGATATTATCATCTTCATTATTTTAATTTTAGAGAAATACATGAAACAGTTTCATTAAAATTTTCTAATCTATCCGTTTATTTGTGGTTGAGATTGGACCTCACAATTACAACAAACTAATCAGTTCTCATTTGATTAGGCCCCTATATATATATATATATATTCAAATTACATTCTTGTGGCCACGGAGGTTCAAATGCGATGACTCCGGGCTATCTGCAAAGCAGGTGGTCATCCTAAGATTAGTCGGCTCGCATAGCGAGTTGGATATCAAGGTTAATAAAAAAAATTACATTCTTGGTCTATGTGATATTTAAATCAAAATATAAGTTGTTAATTAAATATTAAAAAGTGATAAAAATATCCTCTGAGTTAACCTACTTAACAGATGTTTTTAACGATGTTAAGGCAAAGGGACCAAAGGCCTGTGAAAATGTAAACCACGGAGATGTTTCCATAATTATTTTGATTAGAGAAGTAGAGTGTGATTTTGTGTAAACCACAAGGACCAATCATGTAATTTACTCTAAAAAGTACAGATCATTTTTGGTCTCCTACGTTTGTCACTTTCAACAATTTTGTCCCTCAACTTGGTTTTAAGAGATTTGTCTCTCATGTTTGTCAATTCCCAATGGATTCCCTCCTATCTTTTGGCCCTTAAATTTTTCCGTGAAGTCCAATTTAATGAGACGTATTTTAGTCATTTTACATGTCTTCTTATTTCTTGTTTTTACAAACACCATCAAACTTTAGGGAATTGTTATTAATTATCTCTACATTAGTGTGTGTGTGTATATATATATATATATATATATATATATAGTTTGTTTCAATGTTTCAAATACAACTCATCGCATTTGTACAACCAATGCATTTGAGATATTTATGGAAATGATGAGAGTTCATTTATAATGATTTGAATATTTATGGAGATGAATATGGTTCATTAATTATGATCAATACTTTATATTATAAAACAATCAAAACTTCTATGAAATCACATATTAATCAAATGAAATGGATGGTTGAGGTTGGTTATTATACAACCCTTGACATTTGTGCAACCAATACAATCTAATCTCAACCGTCCATTTCATTTGATTAATATGTGATTTCATAGAAGTTCTGATTGTTTTCTAATATAAAGTATTGATCATAATTAATGAACTCTATCATTTTCCATAAATATTCAAATCATAATAAATGAACTCTCATCATTTTCATAAATATCTATTGGGTTGCATTGGTTGTACAAATGCGATGGGTTGCATTTGAAACAAACTATATATATATATATATATATATATATATATATATATATATATATCCACGATGACATCTCCAGCCATGAACACAGTGACCACGAACAACCATCACCACCACTCCGTCCCCCGATCAAACCCACAAAGCAAAGTCATGGGGCAGAAACCACATGGACCAAATCACAGAGAGAAAATCATATCACCATCGTAACCCATGAAAACTCAAACCAAATCTGCAACTCCACTTCTTCAAACAAACTGAAACCTAACTACAAGGACAAAAAAAACACATAGGGACCAAATTGTTGGCCAAAAAACACAGAGACAAATGATATCTGCAAAAAAAAAAACACGGGAACCAATGGAAACACAGAAGATGTACACACCTAGAATTAACTCGAATTCTTATGATGTTATTCATCCTTCTTGCAAACCTATTGATTCATCAAAAGGTAACAAAACCACATACCAAATCACAGTAACGGGAGGGGGTGGTATAGAAAGTTTTGGATAGGTGGTCATTGTGTCTATACATAGAAAGAAGGGGGAGGTTAAGGGAAATATCTAAAAAAAAATGGAAAAGCGAAAAACATTTTTTTTTTTGTTTTCTTATTCATCATTTTCTAATTTCTAATTTTCTAGAAATTAAAAAAATGATGAATATAGAGATTCATTCACAGATGCATACAACCCATAAATTGAAAGACGATGAATATGATGATTCATTTATATGTGCATGCAATCGTGATCGTCTGATTCTATTTTCATAACATCAGTTTTAAAAAGCGGGTGAGGCGGTGAAACATTTACATGCCTACACCTCTATTAAACAGGGTCACGTGGCATTTTTATTTACTTAGTTAAGTAGATAGTGGTGTTCAACTGTTTATTAAAGTCAAACATCACCATCACAAACATACATGATTATGTTTTGACGAAGAAAAAAAAAGTTAAAGATAGGAAACGTAAAAAATATCTCCACTTTTGAATGTACGGATGACATGTATTAAGATATATTGTATCAATCACAATTTATGAGTAGGTTTAAGATTAAAGGTGATCAATGGTCCAGATTTCTTCTTACAATTCTCAACTCAACTTTCATTCTCACATGAACCTTCGCCATTATATATTATGTTATTATGTGTACTTAGATGCTACTATATATATTTCAAGCTAAGTATACTTTATGTATATTGATATAGGGAATGGTTCAAACGAGAACATCTCTGTTTTACGAAAATGTGAGAACGTTTCTCAGCCTCCAAATTAATTAACATATGATAAAAATTAGAATAAATGTAAATTTATTAGTACTTGTCCATAATTTTCTATTATACTAGATTTATCATTATCTCTTAAATTTTGCTATTATCATCGGTTTTTATATCAATATGTCCTTTGTCAATAATTATGTGATAATTATTTTACTTTGCCGTGAGAATAATGTGATAATGATTTGATAAGTTGAAAAAAAAAATTATGATATGATAATCATCTAATAATTATGTTTTTTGTTGTGATAATTAAAACCCAACGACGATCACATCTACATCATCACTTTATTAATTATGTGATTTTATTGTGATACAGATTATGAACAGAATCCAACGATCGGTAATCACATTTCTAGCAACACTAATCACTAAAATGTCCGGAACCCAAGTTCTTAATACCCCCATGTGCACGATAAGAGTGTTACAATTATTCGTATTTATTTCTATCAATTTGTACCGCAGTTGAAGCAAATTTATTCAAAATTCAATGAACAAATGTTAACTACTCTAATGGGAGTGAAAAGTGAAATACTCGAAAACAATTTGTTGTGATATGTACAAGAATATCGACACCCAAGTTGGGGATCAGCCGGCATCTTCGAATAATAAATTGCAGAAGCCCATAAAAGATCAAAGAAAACAGAACCAACAAACAAAGGTGTCAAAGTACCTTATAGTTTTGATGTTTGCAAGAAGAAACTATGCTGCCTCGATTGCCATTGCAAGAGATCACTACTGTCTGCCATGATTGCTTGCAAAGGCTCACAGTTGTCTTGTTTCAGTTTCAACTTCCAGGATCAGTTTACGGGGATAGATTAATTGGATCTAACTGTCGACCTTGAGGTGCTTGATCATCATCACTTGACTTTAGTCTACTAAGAAGCAACCATGCATCAGATGGTGGACAACCCTGGTGCATTTCTGTGGCAACTGGAAGAGTAGAGGCTTCGTTTATCCGTACAAGCATCATCCCCTGTCAATTTTGTGCATTTTAACAAGCCAAGAGAAATTCTCCATCAAGAAGTCATATACCAAGAGATCAAGAAGCAAATAAAAGGTTTTCGGTAAAATTCAACTATTTGTTGTTTAATCGAAAAGATTCAGAAATGGCTTATGTACCTCAAAGTTCACCAAAAAAACTCTGAACTGCTTCATTGTATCCTTCATATCCTGAACCCTCGATGGGTTTGAAGAAGACAGAGCAGCATTTACCTCCTCGGGAGAATAACCTATCTTCCTTTGTACAACCTAAAAAATCAAAGCACTACACAAGAATTACATCCTAGAACCAGGATTCTACAAGGATCACATTCGAACGTCAACTTACATTGTGATCAACAAGGATCTCGGATATCAGGCTACCATCATCTACATATACCTGAAGCTCATATGTGCTCCTTTCCTTAAACTGGAATCCCTTAACTCCAGTCAAGATACACTGAAAGTTTTGCACGAATACAAGTAACATAACAAAATCACGTATTATTTAGATTTTTCTTTGCAAATAGAATAAAAAAGTAAGAAGCTTTTTGCTGATATATGAGACATCATATGACAAGATTTATTCATACATATTTTCAAGGTAGTATATATGCACCTTAATTTTACCCTCAACGTGAGAAGCTTTATCTTTTGATGCAGCCCATTTAACTGACAAGCTGGCAAGGTATGTAAAAGAGCTTTCACTGCTACGACTAAGTGCAGAATGATTCTCCTCAGCAGGCGCCATATGGGCATCTCCATCTCCATCATCTGTAACAGCAATAGGGGAAGGGAAAGATTCAGCATGTTCCCTGTGGAGGGGAATGGTGGGCTCTTCTCTCAACAGGGTCGTATCTACACTTCCCCTCGGGATGGGAACAGCAATGGAATCAGTTTCCTTATCCATAGAAACAGAACTCTGTTCTGCAGGTTTAGATGGAAGGGGTTCAATATTCTCCCTACGAGTGGAAGATTCTATTTCATTTCTTGGCAGGTGATGTCCAACATGTTCTCTATGAACAGGAACTGCAGAATTTGATGACACTCTTCTACTAACAGAAGCAGGTGTGCCACCTGTACATGAATGCATGTATGTCAAAAAGACGGGAAACAAATGAATGGTGGTAGCAAGTTGGTAACATGATGATGATGTTTAAAAACTTAAATCTAGCATGCTAATCGAGCTTTACTAGCCTTAGTATTTCGTTTTTTTAACACAGTTTAATCTATTCAAAAGTAGAGCGCAAAAGGCGATAGAAACATGACCATAAGGTTTATGTTCTAAACAAGTTCCATTAACCTAGGTAATCGCTTATCTTTGAATCGACAAGACACCGAAAAGAGCTCTAAATTGTGTTCACTTGCTGAACCAGTGTATAACTTTTATTGGTTGGTTAATGATGTTGACATGGACAAATCTCCATTAATACATAAGAATTTATGAGGAACATGAATTCACATACCTCGGTCATCTACCTGCATTGGAGATGCCCTTTGAGAGACAGGGTTATTTATTGGTCTTGAAACATGAATCTCCTCAGCAGGCCATGCAGCACGAGTAGCTCTAGTTGATAAAGGGGGAACAACTCCTGTTCTTGTTCTGAAATTGAAGATCATACAAATAAAATAGCAATCATGCTTCAAGAAAACATACATTAATAAAATTCACTTTCATAATAGATATCCACGTTTGGTGTTCTCCTTTTCTTATCTGTTTATAGTTTTATTCTTGATCAATGGGTAAATAAACCATCCACATGTTCAGACAACAATAATCTGCAGTAAGAAAGACGATTCTTCCACATATATAAAAAGCATGCATGTTGAGTATATGGCATGGATAAAAGATGTCAACATGTAGAAGTCCAAAACAGACAACAGATTGCCGTATGCTCTCTTTATCCCAAATTAATTAAGCCATTTGCTCAAAATCTAAGAAGGATCCGAGTTTTTGATGGATTTAATACAAAAAAAACTAAGCTGTAACGTCCAATATTTGATGAGAACTCATTTTTGGATGACAAAATAGCCAGGATCAATGATTATGAGAAATAATTTATCAAGAAAATGGTAAACCTCCAACCCGGTTTACATATGCTAGGAGGGGCTGTAAGTAATATGGGTGTTCATTTGTGAAATTGTGAGGATAAAAGACCATAATAAATAAGGAAGGAAGGGGCATGTTTGTAATAGAACATTGTCTAGTCTGTTAGCAGAAGGAGTCACAATAGTCAATAGGTTAGGGATTTGGGTATTCTGTTTGTAAACTTTGGGCGGAAGTCCTTGAGAGTAGGGATGAGCTTCCCATACCGTTTTCCCGAACCAAACCGAACCTGTACTGAACCGATGTTGAATTCTCATATTCAGTTCGGTATTCGGTCCCAATAATTAGTCAATTTCGGGTTTCGGTATTTGGTACCGTGATTATACCGAAAAAATGGGTACCGAACGGGGTAACTCAAGGGGCATTTTTGGCTATTCCAATTCCATCTCTATCTCCTAACTAATCATCTCTTTTTCCGAAAAGTAAACTACATCTATTCCTAAAATAAATCCATACCTTCTCCATTTGAATTCAAAAAATCACACATAACAAAAAGACACCCCACCACCACGATTTTGTCAAATTGACAATGTCAATCAAGAAATCGGTATCACCATCATATGAAGGAAATTGGCTCCTCCATGGATGAAAGTCAAGTAAATTTTTATATACCACAAGTTTTAGATTGTGTTTGTCAATCATAAACTAACTTTTTTTGAGTTAATTATTGGTTAATATTATAATAATCTTAATATTAATTATAAGTTTAATGTGCTTTTTTTGTTTAGGGAGATGATACATTTGTTGAGGAAACCCCTTATATCAACCTCGACAATGATTCGGATGTCGAAGCAAGAGGCAAAAGAAAACGAGCAAACAAAGCTCCTAAAGGAGGGAAGAAGAAGACTTTAATGTTGTGTTCATTGAAGAGGACGGAGTAAAACAGCAACATGGGAAGTGCAAGTTTTGTGACACGGTACTTAAAGCCGATCCGGTAAGAAACGGTACTTCTAGCCTTAAAAAGCATTATCCTATTTGTGATAAGAATCTCGAGTTTTCCATGAAAAAACAAAGTCACTTATTGTTTAAAAAGGAAGCTAGTGGGGAAGGTAGTGTGCAAACTTGGAAGCATGATGAGGGTAGAATAAAAGAAGCTTTATTAAATTTGTTTGTTGTTGGTGAATTGCCTTTCAAATTTGTGGAAAATGAGGCATTTGTTGGATAAACTAGTGCTTTAAATGGAAGGTTTATTTTGCCATCATGTCACAAAGTCTCTAAGAATGTTGGAAAGTATTATCTAGAGGAAAGGAATAAGTTATTGGCTTATTTAAGTAAACCAACAAACACCGTTCACTTGACTACGGATACTTGGACATCATCGTGTCGAAGGTTGAACTACATGGTTGTTACGGCTCATTTCATAGATGACGATTGGTAATGCATAAACGAATTATTAACTTTAGACCCATTGATAGTCGTAGGGAGGATGATGTGGGTCGTGAATTGTTAGAGTGCATACATGGTTGGGGGATAAGAACTGTTATGACTATGACGATTGATAATGCATCTAGTAATGATAAAGCGCTAGAGTATTTGGTGAAAGAGTTGCCTGATATGTATGATGGTGGGAAACATTTTCAAGTTAGGTGCATGGCGCATATTCTAAGCCTAATTGTGAAAGATGGTTTAAAGGAGAATAATTATTATATTGAGTGTGTGCAAAAGGCGGTTAGGTATATTAGACACTCGACACAAAGAATAGTCAAATTTAAAAAGTGCATGAAAGACTGGAACCTTGAATCAAAAAGATTTTTGTGTGGTGATTGCCCTACTAGGTGGAATTCCACCTTTGAAATGTTAAAGATTGACGTGGAGTTAAAGGGAGGCATTTTTCATGTTTGAAGTTGAAGATGATAGTTATTTTTGTGATCTTGATAGAGAACCTGAACATTCGGATTTTGGTATGTGCAAAAAAGTGGTCGACTTTCTAGAGAAATTCAAGATCAAAACAGAAATTGTATCGACCACTTCAAAGCCCTTAGCTCATCTTTTCTTTTAGAGAAATTCTAGATGTAGACAAACATCTACATGTGTGGGAAGAGATGGTCGATTTTTGCTTGATGGCTCGGGCGATGCGAGAAAAATACGATAAGTATTGGGAAAGTTTGACGAATTGAATGACTTTATGTATTTTGCCGTTATGTTGGATCCTATGATGAAATCATCTTTTATTGGACATGTGTTTCGAAAGTTGATTATATATAACATAATGAAGGAAAATCCTATGTCAAAAGAAGTGCTTGAGATGAAGGTGGCGACTATGGTGCAAGAGGTTGAGAACATACAAAGAAAGGTTTGACACATTTGACTTTACTTCGGCATCTCAAGAAGCATGTTATGAAAAAGATTTAATATCATGTGATGGGGGTAATGACTTCTTGGGGGAATTTCTACATGTGGAAGAAAGTAACTCAGTTGCAACTGACATCGAGTTAAAGAGGTGCCTAAATGAGCCAAAGAATTCGTATACTACCGGGTTTGACATACTTAGGTGGTGGAAACAAAATGCTATTCGGTTCCCAATTGTATCTCCGATGGCCAAAGGTAAATTGTTAATTATGTTTTACATTATTATTGTTTATGTTATACAATATTATTCTTTATGGATCTTGTATTTTTGTTCGATATTTTCGCAATAGAAATCTCCACCATGGCATCCGAGTAGGCATTTAGCATGAGTGGTCGTGTACTAGACCAATATAGAACAAATTTTCACCTTCCATAGTTGAGGCTCTGATTTGCACCCAAGATTGGGTGAGAAAGTCGAGGAAACCAATTGTAGATGACACTGATGATATATTAAAGGACGACGACATTGCGAAAGGTAATATTTGTTATGTTAATATTTACTTTATGTGTTTCTTGATTGTTGTTAAGATCAAGTATTAACTATCTTCGTTTCTTGGTTTTTTGGCAATACAGAGATTGAAGAGGCGATAAACAACCAAAAAAAAAGGGAAAAAGAGTACCAAAGATTGTTGAACTTTAGATTCTTGAACTTTTGGGATTGGTTTTTTGATATATTGAACATTTGCGATTGTTTAACTTTGATTCTTGAACTTCTGCGATTTGGTTTTGATTGTTTCTTTATTAACTTTAAATCTCCGGTCCTAAATGGTACTGACACCGAATTTCCCGTCCCGATACCGAAATGGTACCGAACCAGTAGATTTGGTTCGGTATTCGGTCCTCATTTTTTGTCCCAAAAAAATCCGGTACAGGTAACAATCATATCCCTACTTGAGAGAGTTATCTGACCTCTCGAATGCGAATGTCAGAAGGGTTCTAAAGCATACAACTAATTCCAAAGGAATTGTCAATTGATTCCAGTTTATGGCAGAAAAAAGTGGAGAAATGTAGTTGGTTTATTATTTAACATTTTAAAAGCTAATCACAAAATAAAGATGTAAATATTGCTTAGAATTTTAAGAAGCTACTAGATGCTCATTCAATTTCGCGATGGATATAAAACGTAGAAGGAACCATGCTACAAAGTCCTGCTTCCGAATAGACATTTCAGCGACAGGACACAGAGCACTGAAATGCAGTTTTGGTGTTTTATTCACCACAAAAAATGATCAATAAACCAACAAAAAAGTATAATAGAATACCTTTTGCCCCTTGGAGGCTTATTGACTTCATTAACAAGCCTTTGTCGTGCTGCATCCAGCTCCTCAACCAATCCTCCTAAAACTTGAAAGACTTCTGGAACCAGCATTAGAAGCCCATGTCGTATATGTACATTAGAAATAGCAACCTAAAAAAAGGCAAGTTAATCTGAACTTACTTGCTATGCACAAGAATGTGTAGCAATGTAGACAAATTAGACTAATTACATATCATGCTAAGTAAAAAACACAAGATAAGACTGGAATAGAGGTTTGCAAGACACCAAATAGGCAACAAACAACCTTCCTTACATATCACTCCAATATTGGATTCAGTTCATAACTAACATGGCAGTTCTTCAACAAATTATTCTAAGAAGTAGATTTTCTCTTGGCAAACTTCATCAAGTAAACTTCATTTGTCATATTAACCCATAACAAGTATGGATGCAACTATGATCACATTCAGCTGATATAACCACACTGACATGACTTTTCTTGTTCGACGGTACTAGAAGCAAAGAAGAAGACGTCTAATGAGGACCTAATTCACTCAATTCTTTGATCATGCACAAAGAAGGAGATTTTTCAACCTCAAACTTGACTGAGCACTTTCCTAAGAAAGAAAATGAGGAAACATGAATTAACCAGGTTTAACTGCTATGCACATTTAGCAAGCAAATTAGGCATTGCATCAAACAAAGGCTAAGGTCACACAAACATGATATCATTAAACTTATACCAATCACACCACACGCAAGAACTATAATATAGAACCTTCAGTCCAGCAGGAGCAAGAGCATCTAGATCTTTAATAGGCTGGTATTCCATGCCAAAAACTTGTTGGACACCATCAGTCATAGACAATTTAAGGCATCTCTTCAGGCCAGAAGGTGCCTTCTTGTAACGCTCTCGGAGAGGTTGACTAATATTGACTATCTCGTCAACCTGCAAAAAAAAAGCCTTTATGTCAGCTTGGAGTAGATATAAGCAAATGTCTATGACCTGCGACTCTTTGTGACACTGGGATTTCATTAGACATCCAAGATGCTCAATGGAAAGGGGAAAACTTGCCTAAAGAAACCCTTTTGGAGTACGATAGCTAGTTGTGATCAAAATAGCTGAACTAAAGGAAAGTCAAACAAATTCACAACCAATAGTTCTTTAACATAAGCTGAACTGAACGTGCACTTTCAAACCAAGCTATGGTGAGATATGCTTCATTAATATGCTGTTATATAGGGGCAAAGGAAGTACAAATAAATCAACTCAGAAATATTTCTCCTTTGAACAAGATGAAAGCTACAAGGATCTAATGCAGTATACTTAATCGACTTGGGCTCTTGACATATCACTGCAGGCTCTGATCCACTCAGACATAAATTGACGAACTATGTCTTAATAAAGCAAATCATCTCTGCATCTCCTTCAATACGCTTCTTGCGTTTGAGTTGCAAATCAGATACAATAGCTGTTTAATCCAAGCCCCATTCCAAATTCCTTGTGAACTAAGACTCACTATGCCATCTAACATAAACATCCAATGGCAGTTAATCTAAACAGTTTCTAAATTGATATCAGCATCTTGAAAATTAATGGAGTCCAATTTATACAACAAAATAATCAATCAAAAACTAACACGAGACTAACAAAACATAATATACCTGTAACACAAAGGGCCCAGGAAGATCAACAAGGTGCATTTGATGCACGTTATCCGGAAGCATGCCTGCACCACAGTTGTTCATATCAAAATGCAAAAACTTCTCAAAGCATAGCTTAGCCTTTTTTGTAGCATCGAAGCTGGGAAACCCAGGGACGACAGTCTGGAGGCCATGAAGGCAAGAATCCAACCATTCACTCCGTAATCTCAACCCTAAATCTTCCAGAATCCTACTAATAGGACTATCAGAGACTTCACCCATACCAACACTGCTAGTTCTAGAATAATCTGTAGAATGAACAGTCTGGTCCGAAGGCGGAGGCTGGGGAGAAGGTAAGAGATCTTCGTACGCATCGACGAAATCTTCGTCAGATATCTCGACTTGGATGCAATCAGATTGATTGGTAGGGTTAGAGTTTGAGGAACTTAGGGTTACATCTTGAAAATTGAGTGTTTCGCAATCGTTATCATGGTGTTGTGGAAGAGGTGGTTGAACTTCTAGTACGTCTTCTTCATCGTCTTCCTCATCGGATGAACAGATTATTCTCAGGCGCCTTCTGGAGAACATCGTTGCCAACAACAATGGCGACCTTTTTTCCCTCCAGTTTCCTCGTATTTTCAAAATTATTCCAAGTCGTAGGGTATTAAGACCGCCATGGTTCCTTTTGGTCGTTCGAAGTACTATGATTTTTTGGGCAGTTTTAATTAATTATTGATCTATCTCACTTGCTCGTAAAGCTCTTTTGGGGGGTTTAATGTTTATTTATGGTTTATTTGTACATGACTTAATTGTACAGATAGAAATGACGGCCATCAAAATAACATCCCTACCCTTATTTAAAGTATCGTCTTCTTGGCTCCTTTCCAAATGAGACACCCTATCGTCAATCTCTTTATGATTTTTTGTTTTGATGTTTAAATAATTAATATTGGGGGTAAATCGATCATTTATGTTATTCAGACTGTTGGTTTAGATAAAAAAAATTAAACAACAACACTCATTTATCCAGACAGACAAATTATCTCGGACAAACAAATTTATCCGTAAAAGACTTAAAAAATTTGGTAAACAGCCCCATAATCTCAAATTTAACTTCTAATATACATTATATCATTCCGTTGAGAAAGAGAGTTAAATGAGAAGCATGAAAATGGATATTCGTCCTTTGATACATATTAGGATGAGATACACCGAGATGTATCGGAATCAATCCTCATATCAAGCGTTATTCATATATGAGTTTTGAGATTAAAAGTGATTATCTTTTCTTACGTTTTTCACGTTAATTCTACTTCATACGATTTTTCACCTTATATCTATTATTAAATATATTTTTAGATTTATGATAAAAACACATTTTTAAAAAAATTATAACACATCAACCTTGTTATAGTAACAATTATAAGAATGTATATCTCCCCTCAATATTAAAAGTTTTAAAGAATTATCTAAATTTAAATATATTTGTTTTTCTTTCTTTTTTCTATTTTAACATACAATCTAACATAGTTGTTGGAGTAAAAAAAACCAAGAAATCTCCAAAATCTTTATTTTAACATAGCTATTGAAGAAGTTCTAACATTGACATTTTTATAGCTTCGAGTAAATTACAAAAAATTGTCTCTTGGTTTGTTAAATCTTTTTTTCATCCTTTTTTATATTTTATTTTTTTGGAAAGGTATCCCGAGCTATATCCAGACTAATCCCACAAACCCAATGCGTCCCATAAACAGACTTTTTGGCCATGGTAAAAATATGATTCAAAAATTAACCACAAAAATGATACCTGATTGGTTTGAACTTGGCTCCAAATGTCACAAGTTCAAATCCAAGGAGGAATAAAAATCCCCTTTTAGCTACGGAGGTTCAAATACGGTGACTCCTGACTATTTGCATAGCAAGTAGTCGTCCTGGAATTATTCGGCTCACATAGCAAGTTGGATATCTAGGTTGATCAATATATATATATATATATATATATATGATTCAAAAATTTGTAATAAATCTTGATGCTTGAATATAAAAAAAAAACTAAGTATTCATACAAATTCTACATTTTTGTTACAGATGGATCAATCAATATATTAGAAAAGATAAGATAAAAGCAGCACTGGCACTAATCTAGATTAGATTATTTTAAGTTAGAGCATAATCTCTACTTGAGGTTGAGGTTGAGGATGGGGAGGCTTCGCATTCACCATCGTACTACCATGACCATCTCTCCATCTACTTAACCCTGCATCCATCACCTTCTGAACCACCTCCATTCGCTCCCCCACCACTGATTCTTCCACCTCCGCCATCTCACTCAACTCTTTCTCCATTATCGCCTCTACCTCTTTCAACAGCTCCATCTTATATTGCAACTTTTTCAACTGTTTGTTTCAATATCAATATCAATATCAAAATTAAACATTTTTTTTTATAATTTGATGAAAAGTCGAACAAGATGCATTATAAGAAAAATGGAGCTCACCTGTGTATTAATTATGGTCGACACTAAACGTTCAACTTCTCGATCTTCTTGGATTGCTAATAACTTGGCATGCGCAGCTGCGGCACCCAGAGCTGTTGCAGTCGTAGCTCTCATCCGTAGTGGTAAAGGTATTATACTCTTTTCTGTTCAAATGCATATACAGTTCTAAAAGTTAATCAAGATTTTATTCTAAAGAACAAACAACCCATGAATGTCTCTTGATGGATGCTGAAAATTCAGAATGATACAAATCACCCGTAAAATACCTGATTCATTAGGCCTTGCATCCATCTCCGAATCGTTGCCTTGACCAATCCTACAAAGGGAAGAATATAGAATTCTTGATACGTTCTAATTTACAGAACAGCGTGTAACTTGCTAGAAAGAGATGGATAATAACCTGTCAGACTCGGTTGTCTGTGTAGACAACCGTAACTCGTTGCCATTTTCTTCGCGATCAAATATTTCTTTTGGAATTTGATTTTCATCACAAAGGGCTGTAATAGCAGCCTCTGCTGCAGAAGCTGCAACATGTGGACCGACCACAGCAGAGATGCGGGTAACCTAACAGAAGAAAAACAAACAATGCCAGTTTGATGAGGATTCCACTTTTAATGTTCAATAATAATCACAATGATGGCCATAATCGATGATGTTTAGTGATTTTTGTTCAGGAAAACAAATTTGTATAATCATTCTAAACTGGTTTTCCATTTTCCAAGTAGTATGCAGGCTTTTTCCCTCGTCACATCTGTGAACAGAACAACCAGTCCATATTTATGAGAAATAATCTCTCCCCATGATAGCTTAAGGGAAAAAAACTGCTACAAGTATCTAAAGAGTAATAGCATACCTGCCGCATTAGTGAATTACTGACATTGGGGACGGGTTTAGAACGATCACTCTTCGGAGGACAGTGGTCATCTAGATCTCCATCTTGCTGCTTATGATTCTTTAGCTCACAAACTTGACTTTCATTTTCTCTAATCTCTTCAGGGACAACTAAAGATGGTGCTACTTGTTCTACTTCATTATCTGTCTGCAGAGAAATTTAACGGATTTCAGTCCAGAAGAAAATTTATGACATCCAATTAATCAAAGGGTGTTAAAGAAAAAAGCTGTCACCTGCTCCATCTTTGAGTTGCTGGAATCTGAAATCGGTGCAATGCATATTCTCTTTGGAGGGGGGCCTTCGCTATCAGCATCACCGTTCTGTTGACTTTGAGCTTTGCTTTCAAGTTCAATATGTTGAATTCTGATATCTTTAGTCTCTTGAGGTGCTGGTGGGCCTACTTGTCCTCGTTTCTGGTTGTTTATATTACTATTGGTGTCCCGGTATCTGCATCTATCATATGCAGATCCCAACATAAGCTGACCGAAAGGTAATTGTATAAGTTTGGAAATACACTCTGGTTTACTCTTGGTTTGAACATTTTGCGCCACAAGATCCCAGTCGTCTCCATGCTTCAAAACAGATTCTAAAAGAAGTAATGTTTCTGCTTCAGTCCACACAGCAACACGATTTCCATCATCAGGATTGTCATCGACAAACTTGAAATCATCAATAGACTTGTTCTTTCCATAAGTTCCATTTTTGAAGCACTTGATACAAATGATGGAACTCGCATCCTGATATGAAAAAATCAGATAAGAAACCTTGAAAGACAATCTGATTAACTAGACTGAAATCAGCAAGTTAATGTTAGCATATTCTATCACAGATAAACAAAAGTCTAAAAGTTGAAGAGAATGTATACAGAAGCATGTAATGTGAAAAGAAAAACAAAACAAAATGGTTCACTGGTTAGCATTCAATTATGCAACCATGTGGGAAGGTTTAGATCGTTGGCCTATGCTATCATTGTCGAGCAAAGACAAGTTGGTGAAGCCAGCATTCGAGTCAGGCACACATAATCAGAGCATCAAAACAATTAAAGCCTGATGTCAGAAAAGGAAACCCACTCAAGAAATCAGCATGAATAACAGAGGGAAAACATGAAAGAGCCGGTCATGTCTTTAAAATGCCAAATCCCACAAGTTGTAAAGTGCAGTGGTATAAATGGAATACCCGAACTAAAACAATGATTCAAATATATGTGAAAGCCATCCTCATACACAAAAAATAAAAAAAACAAACCTATACTTTTGGAAGATATAGAATATATTTTAGAGCTTCTTCTACTATAGTCAGATCTCAAAATTCATACCTTCATAAAGTGATGCAATAGCAGTTTTGTTAAGGATAACAACTAAAGATGACATATATCTGTCCAGATACACCACCAGTGCTGGTTGAAAACTGTACCATTGGCTAGAACATGCAGTATGATAGTTTAAATTTAACATGGGACTTTCCTTGGGCTGATAAGATCCAACACTTGTCTTTCTTGCAAAAGGTAATGACATTAAGTTAAAACGTAAATTTCATTAGGCAAGACCTGCATGGTTGTATTGTAAAACTGATAAATAGATATTCACTGTGGCAGACCCAGGAATTTCTTTGAGCGGGTGCACCTTTAAGGTGGATCAAAGGTCTGCAAAATCGTGGTTGGACCTGGGGGAAGTCAACACGGTTTGACCTAGGGAAAAGTCAATTGTGTCAATTTGAGGAATAAATACATTTTTTCAAATGGAATCGACCTTGATCCTTAAAATAAATATATGTTGCATAGAAATTGAGATAAAAAGAAGGCGAGTTTTTAAGATGAATTGACATTGGAAAGGAAAATAAATCATGAAAAATGAAATAGAATCAAAATGGGAGAAATATTAACAAAAAGTTGCATTGGTATAGTGGTAGTAAATTGGTAATGTATATAATTGTACTTGAACGAACTCCTCCTAACTATATTTTTGATGTTAACATTTTCAATTGTAGGGCCTGAGTAAATGCTCCGGCTCAGCTCTTGAGCCTAAAATTAGAAGATAAAAAAGAAAATGTTCACCTAAAAGATTTGACCCCTTGACCTTTTGTATATAAAGTAGTAATCCAACCATCCCACCAGAATCTAATTTTTGTTATAGATTTGGTTTCAAAGTATTTAAGGGAATCCCTCAACATCAAGTGGGTGCACCTTTCAGACAACTAAATTTTTTTCTCTTGCAATAATTGAGTGAACAGGTGCATGGGATCCCGCTCAGCTCCTACTAGGTCCACCCATGGAAACTTAAAAAAGCACTTAATGTATCAAGATACACTGTGGTATTCTTGATGTATAGTGCTATATCTTCCTTTTCATGCTATATGTTAGAGACTAGATAGATAGGAAATGTATCAGTTTACATACACAGGTACTTCAACTCTGATACTTAGCAAGTATTCAGAAGTAAAAACATTCAAACGGTGAATACCATAGTCAGATGACTGGAACAATGAAAGTGGAAACAATGAAGAGAGAAACAACCAATTATTGTCTGTCAAACCTCTTTGTGCAAGTATAAATGCAATGTCATATCTAAAGTCTAAACCAAACCAAACAAACCCATATAACATGTCATGCCATATCTATGAGCCTTAAAGAAAAATGGGCAGAAACTCCAGCTAGAACATGTATGTTGCTCTCATAGTCCAAACGAGCAGGCATTACCAAGCAGGTCATTATTACTGCCTGAGATTGGCCAAGATTATAAATGGTAAAGGCTGGCCAGAGACCACAAGGAGTTATAACCCTACAACATATAATTGTGTTTCTGAATCAAAGATGACAGACAACACATATCACAAGTAGAAGAATCTAGCAAGAGGTTGATAAAACAAAATAAGAATTTCTACAATGTACAACTGCAATTATAGATCGAACACCTTCAACAAAAAACTGTGAAAGGCTGCAAGCACTGATCTTTGCAATATATATACACACACATGAGACTGGTATGTAATCCTGAGTCCTTGATAATTACTAGACGATGCAGGTGGCAATATATTGAGAAATACCTTTGTGTACTCGTAATGACCAGACTCGCACCGCTCCTTGCAACTCTCGCAGACCAATTCTATCAATTCCTGGTAAACATCCGAATGAGAAGAAAGCGGTGGCATTTTAAAATCACTGTCAGCAAAACGGGAGCCGTTGTTAGAAGTCACGCTAGCCGGCAATGAAACCGGCTTCAACGAATTTGGAATCGCAACAACCCTAACCCCATGAGGAGGCCCTTCCTCCACCTTAACCTTCCACCTCCCTGCCTCCTCGTCCTCCCTAACCAAATCACCATCTTCACCACCAATCACCGACGACGACGGCAATGGAGCACCAAAATTAATCAACCCCCACTTTTCGAGAAACAGAAACACCTTAAGAAGATAATTAACGTCGCCTACCAAGGATTTCCGGACTTCGGAGAAGGTTAGCCTTCTAGAAGGATCTTCCCGATACTTGGAAATAATGAAATCTCGATACTCTTTATACACCCTAGGGTTTCTAGTAAACGAAGTTCCGTCGAAAAACTCCTTGAGTGAAGCTTTCTCGATTTCGTGAATGTTATCCCAGGAAAACCAACCTGAACAAAGACAGAAAACAAAATTGAACTAGGGTTAGGGTTTTTTTGATGAAGAAGAAACGGGGAAGGAGGAGTGGACTTACCGGAGCTGCCGGGGATGGTGTAGAGTTCGAATTCGAAGCGATGATCGTCGGCGGGAAGGAATGGTTTTAAAATTTGGTGGTGTGAGCTCTCCATCTGGGATGGATTTTGTTTTAGGATGCAGCGAGTCACTCTCTCTTATAAAAAACTGAGTCAGTCCGAGTCGTTAACTCACAACTCCATGGTATATTTATAAACTCCTTTGCTTCCTTGTCTCGCTATGTTTTTATGCATTTGTTGGGTTCCTCTCAACTCGACCCACTTTTTTGTATATTTAAATATTCATAACCCTTTAAATTTCTTTATCTAGAAAAAAAAGTTATTTATAATTAATACTTAATTATTTTGGAATAAAGAAAAAATGTTGGTATCAACTAGGATTGCTTAAAAAATCAAGGAAACAGATCAATCCAACCTAAAAAAAACTTAACTTTAGACAATCTAACACATAGTTGATACAAAATTATGACAAATCGAATCTATTGAAGTGGAATCGGGTTAAGGTAATTTGAATTCAATCCAACACAATGAACCTGATGTGTTTCGATACTATGGATTGTTAAGACCTTGATTAATACTAATAATGTACTTGCGTGCGATGTCGTGCAAATCATTTCGATTATGAAGCCGAGAACCCGAAATGGCGATCTTGTTTGAAGTTCTGTTTTATTCTTCGTCGCTCGTGATGCTAATGTTATAGTTTGTTGTGATTTTAATTTGTAAATTATATGATATATAAATTCAAAGCTAATATGTTTAGTTGGTCGAATATTTTGAAAGACAGTAGTGTGATAACAGTGTTTTTTAACCCATATCATCTGTTGTTCTTGTCTTTTAAAGATCGATTTTTGCATTAACTAATAGTTTGTAGTTTTTGCAACTTATGCTTGAAAAATAAAATGCAAGATTTTTGTTTGAATAAAAATATGACAAGAATACTCAAAAATTATATATTTTGTGATTAAAAAATAATATAGGGTACTGTAATATTTCAAAAAAATAGGCCAACAATAAAATGAAGCAAATGAATTGGACTCTCGTAACTATTTATGAAAATCAAGTTGATTTGTTCTAATTTAGAATTTGAACCAACATCAAAACAAGAGTTAAACACCGTATCAACAACAAGATATGAAACAAAAATTGTTGAGAATTTAACACATAAAGCACTTGTTTTACGTCTTTTTAGTTAGAATAATTTCTTTTCATTCTCACATTGAGTCATTTTTATTTATTTATTTATACATTTGTTATTATGAAGCTAAATATTGAGGTTGACTTGTTGGTACTCTTGGATGAAGCTAATATAGATTTTTTTGTGAAAACAGCAGGATGCTACAGCATTGATGCAGCGTCGATCTGATTCATGTGCAGTTTTTTTGAGGGCTTAATGGTCAAGACACTGACTTTTTGACTAGTGGAAGACAGTTGTAAAAGCTGATTTTTTAGTTAAAATCCAATGTTTAGACTTTGGTTAGGCTATTGTCCTTTTAGTTACTATTTTGTTATTATGTAACTAGCTTTTGGAAGCTTAGCCTCTAAGTCTTTTATTTTTGTCTTTTAGTAACCCCTTTTGTGTATAAAATGAAGGCTTAGGGTGCCTTCATCTATGATCCATTAATCCATCTTTCATCCATTGTATTCCATTTCATTAGCTAGTATTGTAAACCCTCTCCAATGGTGGTTTTATTAATCTTTTGAAGTTCTTCATCTTTTCTTCTTTAATATTCTCATCTTTTATTTTACGTTCTTTATTTTACGTTCATTTACGATTATTATCATTTACATTCCATCATTTAATTTCCGCAATTTACATTCTCGTCATTTACATTTCCGTCATTTATTTTCTCGTCATTTACATTTCCGTCATTTATTTTCTCGTTATTTACTTTACGCAATTTACATTTATGTCTTTATTTTCCGTCGTCTATTTTTTACTTTCCCTTATGAGTAGCTAAGCTTTTATAGCTTGGGTGTGAGACGGAAAGATGAGATTTTCAAACCGAACAAAAGTAGCTAAGTGTTTTCGTAAACGACGTTTCATTGTTTCATTCGAGTTTTTATAAAACCAAGCACACTTYTTGAYGGGTTGATCACTTGAAAGTGTTAAAGTGCAATGGACTTAGAGATAAGCCATTAATAAGCACGTTAACTTGAATGACATAAGAGGTAGACTTGAGAAAGTTGCCGACAAGGAGACTTGTCATTTATGTTTTTCAAACTTAGCTCCTGACGGGTTGGTCACTCTTCAAAAGTGTCAAAGTGTGATAGATTCAGAGATGAACTATCAAGAACACGCCAACTCGAATGATATGAGAATCGACTCGAGAGAGTGATTTTTAACAAAAAGATTTGTTTATCCATATATTTTGAAAACAYCATYGTGTCACTATYYYCGGTCCGGACACCACATAGAGATATGGGTGGAAAGCTATAAGATAGTGCAATGGTGAAGTCCGAGAGGAATGCCTTCAAAATAGATGGTGGAACTTAGTTTCGAAACACTGCTTGCTGTAGCATTCCTATAGCATTGGCTGCTGGAATTTGTGTTTTGGTCTCACCTTAAGTCTTACACCCTTGCTTCTTTTATATATTCTGTATTTTGTTTTGAATCACCTTAAAATCAAACAAAAGTCTTCAAAATCGTCATTTGAAATCATCTCTTTCATTGGACTCTAATCTAACTTTGGCTACAATCTGCGTGGACGATAATCCGGTACTTGTACCACTTTATTACTTGGAAATACGATGTTGGGCCGTATTGTATACTTGCTTTGTGGTCCAATTTCATATAGTCTAAAGGTGTGAAATATAACCGATCAATTTCCCCTGTTGAACAATTTTAAAATAACGAACAATGAAGCAAATGAATGCACAAAACATATATTTGAGCAATTAAAACTTACTTTAACATTACTAGTACCAAAAGTCAGTGTCTCCTGTAAAACGGTAAAACCTACTTCAGGCAGGTATTTACGTTATCTGTCAAAATACAAAATCATCTTGTTGTTGTGTACTTTGAGGCATATATAGTTTTCAACACGTCTTCTAATTCTACTCATCCTGCAACTAAAACATATTAGATATATAAATACTTTTCGAGAACAAACTATATTAGAAAGTAGGCATTATATCAAATACCAAAATAGAAATCCACTATACTACAAATCAGCTCATAGCGAAATTACTGATTAAGAGACCTAACAATTAAACGGTTCAAAGGCTCTACAACTTGTGATAGGTGCACAAAAATACGCGTCTTTTTTGTTTGGCTGGGAAAATACCATGACCTTTTTTTATATAAAATACCATAATACTAACTGACTAACAACGCTAAACAACCCAGACAAATAACATTGTGTACAGTTACAAACAATGTTTTAAAGAAAAAATAAACTGTCAGGTTATAATACTATTTACAATCAGATAAGTATGAGGCGAGCCCAGATAATCCAATCACTTTGACCACTTTTGCATGAAGTATGTTGTTTAGGGGATACATATAATATAAAGGTTAAAGTTGTTTATTTACATAGAACATCACACAAACGTATTGATAAAAGATATATCACATGATTAAACAACACTAGCAAACGAATGAAGATTAAGGGGATGCGTTGGAAATTCAATAACAAGCGAGTTTAAAAATCAATGGTTATTGTTGGAATTCCTTAGTGTGCATTGTTGTTATTCTTTTATGGCACTGAGTATTATCCATTATGTCTCTTATATGTGTTAAAAACTTGATTTTAGACTGATCAATTATTGGCTTATGTAACGTCCAAGTATAAATTATACTAAGTTGAAAAGAATGTTAAAGTAATGGGTTAAAAGTGAAAGTTTGCGAAGATTATTAAGTGTAAGAATCCAATATATTTTTCTATAAAACTGGGGGCCAAACAATATATCCCACAAACTCGAGGGATGCGTTTTGCCAAGTCACAATTAGAAATCGATTTGAAAAGCGCCACACTTGAAAATGACATATACATATGCGTGTAATAAAAATGTATGATTTTATACGACATGACCAATATAACATATTGCAAGAAAAATTTACATTTCGTATGCATGTGGATCGACACTACGACATCTAGATTACGTATTGACAGGATGTAATGTCAATAGAAATACCAGAGCCGTACTTTAACTGGTATATACGACGTGTTCACTTATGTACCTTGAATGTGATCGGTGGGCATTGATTAATTGAGAATGACGAGTTAGTAATTTATTAGTAAATATAATAAGACAATTCATATGGTGTGACAGTTAATATCGAGACATCTCATGTCATGTTTTTACTTTCATATATATTTTCAAAATTATATCATGCTTTTGTTTTAAATATGTTTGACTTGAAACGTGAATGTATGAAGTACTATGGTCATTTCACGAAGTGATGCTTTTGTGAAATATGTTTATTGTAACTCATAGAGGTAATTCAATGATACGACATTGAGTTTGGTCCCAATTGGTCACTGGTTCGAGTTCCAATATGTCCACTTGAGAGGGTCCCATGAGATAAGATGATGTGCACACAACTTGACTGAGTTACCCGTAGTTATAAAATATCATGTTTACTGACTATACATATACACATGCATTAATGAAACCACAAACTCATATAATTTGACATATAGTGCATGTATCTCCAGTAGATTAAGAGCTCGTGTAAGCGATATTAACGTCATAATAATGACAATTCAATATGCACGAGATGAAAATGGTCTAGCAGATTTTAATCAATAAGAAGTTATGTGCTTTCTTAAGAACTAAAGTATATGTTCATCTGGTGACATCCATTGAATGTGAGGGGAACCGAACCGATACAATTCGATTAACATTGGATAATCGATCCAAACCAACCCATTGAATGACTGGATTGTTTTGGTTATATTCATAGGATGTTCTTATTGAATATCCATTGGATCAAATTGAATCAAACCAATACTAATTGGAATGGATCCATCCAATATCAAATGAAATGGATAAGTGGATCGGATTGGATCCATCCAATGCGTTCATTCAATCAAATTTTCCAACGTGAATTTGATTAATCACTTTAAAGACGTGTTAAAACCAGTATAAGCAAAATTAAAAGTAAAAAACTCAACACAAAACAAATTCATATTAAAAAAATTGGAAACAAATTGATTGGATGGGTAACTCGATGGTCATCTGATGCTTAATTTGATAGGTGATTGGATGTTGGCCGATTTGGTTAGTTCTTGACCGCCATACAAGAACCGATTGAACAAAATTGGATGTTGAGATTTCAACCCGATCCAAACCAATTACAATTATATATCTAATTATGGTCGGTCGGTTCTAACTAACAGTTTACTATGTGCACACCCCTTATGAACGTTAACTTTATTTACAGATCAATAGGTGAGAAAGAAAGGCAATACTGTGATGTTGCAAGACATGTCCTAATAAGATAAAACTTGATTTAGAACACGATGTTACAATCTATATGGTCAAAAACCAAGCAATAAATACCATATCTTGTAATACAATAATCAAAAATTGAAGCCATGTTAACATTTTGAATTGTCTTTTAAAAAAGAACTTACGTAAGTAACACATGTGATAGTACATGTCATGGGCTTAGTGGTGTAAGAGCGACTTAGCCTGCAACCTAGATCGCGCCAAAAGTTGTTCACGTCTCTAATTTAGTATCATATGTGATGAAATAATAGTATCACATGTGATTGTTTATAGCAAAAATGTGTTCTCATGTTTTCATTTGAACCATTCCCTTGATATAAGTTATAAAAAAAATAAAAAATCATTTGTGTTTAGGGTGTACACCTTTTCAATTTTTAACGAGCGACACAAGTCGATATTGAACACTAATTAAACTCTTTTAAATTAACGACTTGAGCTTCACAACAATAATGCTCGACTTGCCTCTTTCAATAACTCTATTAAACTTTGTCGAGTTGAGTCGAGCTGTGTGAGATCCCATATCGGTTGGGACAATTTATGGTACAGTTGGTCTGAGATGTTACAATTGGTATTAGAGTCGGGAACTTCACGATCCTACATCGGTTGGGGAGGAGAACTAAGGTTGCCTTATAATAGGCTGGATACTCAACCAAACATGTTCTATACTTGTAAGTCAAGGTGTGTGGACAAAGTAGACAGTATCTGGTACGGTTGGTATGAGATGTTACAAGTTGAGCTATTTGAGCATATACTTTTTCAAACCAAGCATGCGCATGTATTCATAAATCATACAATAAAAATATGTTTATTATCGAGCTTAAAACTAATAAACGAGTGAATTGGTCGTGAGTTTGAGCCCCTAAACAAGCTTTAACTCAAACTCGATAATTCAAAAATATTCAAGCTCGAACTTGAGGCTGATTTGAAAAAGTTATTCGAACTTGAGCCTGGTATTATTTTTCCTTGCCGAGTTGAATGTAACATCCAACTTTCTAAAAGTCCATTTAAGTTGCTAAGCATGTTTAATTAAGTTAGTATAGTATTTTATGGATTAGTACTTACTTAAGTTATATTGGAATATGGACTTCTGGATCGAGTTAGAGGCTAACATTTTATATTTAAGCTTCTTATATATCAATTATGAGATATGGAAAGTTTCGTGGAAAACGGAGTTGAAACGACCAAGTTACGCATGAAGGACTAAATCTGTCAACTATGGCAAACTAGGTGGATTGTTGACCAAAACAGGTCAAAACCGTGCCTAGCTCTCTAAATCAGTCATATTTTCTCACCTCTAGAACTCTCACATACTCAAGGTGCGATTTACACAGACTTAAGATTAATCCTTCAATCCTTGATGATCCATGTTAGATTCTTGAGGATTATGTGTTAATCATCAAAGGTATGCTTCTAATTACAAGTTTATTTCAAGTAGAAGTGTTAATTTAGAGGCTAGATTTTGTATTTGAAATATTATAAAAGATAATGTTGATTAATGTGTGAATTTGAAGCTAAAATGGGTAAAATCTGCAACATGCAGTGAGTTATAAAGTTGGATTTTGACAGCTTTGATGCTGCTGTGTTAAAAATTCATAACAAATCACAGAAAAATCTTAAAAATGTGAGGTTAGTTTCATTAGAAAGCTTTAAGAGGATACTTTTATTTAGTATTTTTAGGTCAGTGGCTAAATCTGAGTCTAAGTGTAGTAAAACAGGGTCGAACAGAGGGCTTTACAAGAAAGTGTAAATAGGATAATCAAGATATAAAGTGTATAACTTGAGGTTGGGATATAGTTGGTTATTGATACTTGAAATGTTTACTCCAGGGGCTGTTTTAAGGCTATTTAGAGCCTCTAAAGGTTTAATGCTATTGTTGATTGGAATTGGATGTTACCGCGTTCGGTTGTTTATAATAAAACACTGTGAGTTTATACCGAACTTATACTTATATATAGTATATGTATATGAATTCTTACTGAAAAGTTGCTGATTTTGCATGCGTTATTTTGTAAGGTGAATTTTCCATAACTTTGTTTTAGTATTTCTTAATCCTTTTACGTTGTGGTTGGTCCGGATCCGAGACTGTTTATTTGGTCTTTTGATAAACCATTATCTACGGGTATTACTTCGTGTGATATGCCGTAGCATGGTGTATGTCCACGTATCCCAAAGGAGAGTGAGGTTGGGTGTGGCATACCGATTGTTGTATTCACGTATTCCGATTGGTAGGGAGCCGGGTGTGAATACTTTGCACGGGCCCTATAGACGAAGAGGGGTGTGGTGCACATGTATATTCTATTTTGGTAGTGATGCCTTTTGTATTTGATATGTTTTTTGGTGCTGTAATTGATCTTAATTATCCTAAAAGTCTTATTAAGCATTGTATGTTAAGGATGAAAGATCCAAAGTTTTCTGCTAAGTTTTCTGCTGTGATTAAATGGCCAAGTATGGAAGTCCTTCAGGACCAGAGGCCCTCTGGACGACCAGAGCCTCTGGTTGTACTGCGCTCCTGGACGAAATTTTGGCAGATTTTTGAGTTAACAGTCTAATTCACAAATAAACGATTCTTTCTGTTTTGTTTCGTCTAATATTTGTAATTTTTTTATAAAATATATAATTATAAGCTTTGGTATAATTTTTTAAGCCTTGTCGCTTATTTTTTTAGAATAAATTTTATTTTCAGGAAGGTCGGTAGCTGTCCAAGGGAAAGATAAAACAGTTTAGATCTGCTTGTAGGATTCCAGATCCTGGATATCTTTTTGGTACTTGTTGTGCATATATCGTATTGAGTTGTATCTATGTATATAATACTTTTGGGTAGATACATTTGTATTTTTGGACCCGACTTATAGTACCTAAAATCGTCGGTTGCAGGCTTCGTTATTTTATTTTTGGTGGAAATCTATAACATATATCCCGTATTTGCTTKGAGATTGTTTTATGGAAAATCTTTTGGATAAATAGTTTCTTTTTATTAAGAATTAGCGTAACCGATGTTACATTGAAATAAGCTAATACTCAACTCAACCTGTCTACACCTATTGTTATGTTAATTACATACTATACCACATAGTAAAAAACTTGAACATATCACTACTTTTTGAAGCTTATGGACCCAAGCCTATATTAAGTTAATAATTTGATTTTGAAAGCTCAACTTACTAAAATAGTTGATAAATTATCGGAGGTGATAACAAAACTGGATATAATCATTAGACAACTATTCTTGATAGAGATGTACAAGACTTGAGTCAACAGTAAACCCAAGATTATAGTCTAGCCGATGCACTTATATAATGAATTACAGTCTACAAAGTCGTCTGATGTGTTTTTAGCTGAATTACATTGTTTCAACTTTCGAGGGATTTTTTGGTTGATTTGAAGAGATTTTTCCGTTTTTGTTTGATATCCCTTGTATTTTTTAATATTCTAAAGCACCTCTTAAAGTTAGCATGTGCTCAATGCACAAAAAAAAATTATATTTGCAAAGATCGGTTAAACAAGTGCAAGGTACACCGCCATACCATGTTAGGTTCTCCGCTAACCTAAGTCTTCTAAGCCCATTTTCAATAAGAAAAGAACTAGGTTTCTTCGGTGTGCCCGAACGAGTTTTTTTGAGCTTGACCAAGCTTTTTGAACTAGACTTTTAGAAAAAAATTAGGCCCAATCGGGTTTTAAGATTTGACTCGACCTGGGCTCGGGTTCAAGTGGACTTTAGATTTGAATTTTTGTGTGGATGTGTAGTTGTTAATGACCAAAAACAATCAAAATTAAAATTCAGATGATTTAAAAAGCTTTAAATTGATTTAAGGAAGAGATTTTTGTGAATTAAGAAGAAAAGCAAAAGATGCAAAAATTTGGTTGAACCGCGAAGAAACTGCGCTAATACATTTGGCACGAAATTCAAAACCCTCTAATTCTTCCCCAAAATTCAATCGAGCCCGCCCAAGATTTCCCCCAAAAACCATTTCAACGTTTCTCTCACCCCTTTCTCAGATTCAATCGCAGTATCAACAAAGCCCAGTCCTTTATTTCTGTCTCTTCTCGTACAACCTGCCCAATAATTTCACTTCTCTTCCACCTTACAGGGGTTTTTGGGTGTTTCTTGATCTGTCTGTGTGATTACTTACACATACGCTCACACTGTCTGAATCTCAATACACACAGAGTTTGTGATTTATCGTTTGTTTTGTGTTTTTCAATGGCATCCGAGATGGAAACCCTAGAGGGTAAAAAACAAGAAGACGTTCCTAACGTTGGAGAAGAAGTCGAAATGAAGGACAAGGAGGAATCCGAAAAAGAAGGTGAAGAACAGCAAGAGACTAAAGAAGAAGAGGAAGAAGAAGAAGCTAAAGACGAAGAGAGTGATGATCAAGAAGAGGCCGAGGAAAGTAAAGGGTCTAGTAAAAGAGGGGCAAAAAATAGCGCCAAAAAAGAAGGCAGTTCAAAGAAAGTGAAGACTGATTCGAGTGCAAAAGAACCTGTTACGCCGATCGAGAGGCCAACCAGGGAGAGGAAGACCGTTGAACGATATACGGAGTCTATGAGTAGGCTTTCTGCCACCAAACCGTTCTCCATAGAAAAAGTAAGTCGCCATTTTGTTCATCATTGTTTTGACTAGAAATTTTGAAATTTTCTTACACGCGTTTATACGGATCGATGCAGGGACCAGGCACCCAGCTCAAGGATATTCCAAATGGTACGTTTATGACTGCCTTTGTGCTTAATTCATGTTCAGTTCTAAAATTAGGGTTGAAAGATTAGCCAAAAAGAAAAGCTCTTGAAGTTCCTTAATTATACACAAGAAGCAGCTTTAATTATTCACCTGTCATCATGTATATGCATATGTCTTGTGTTACAGTGGTTACTAGGTATTCTTCTAATATACTGTAGAAAGTATGAGTTTCTAAGTTTGTAACAATGATGCAAGGTTAATACCAGTAGCAACAAAGTAAGTCTGAAGGGTTATTGATGATTGTATTTAAGTGGTGGCTTTTGTTGATGCTGGTTTACCGTCTCCCCTACTCGAGCTTTGCTGATGTCTAGCAAACTGTGCAAATGTTTGAGGGGGTTTTGTTTTTTTACTACTGCATTCACTGAGTTTTAAATAGGGTCATCAGATTAGGTTTTAAAATGTGTAAATGGATTATTGGTTGTAACCTTGATGTGTTTTAGTATTTGTAGTTGTTGGGAGTCTGTTCTCTTAGTGGGCAAGGAAAAGGAGGATTTGAATCCATGATGCAGAAGGTATTACCCGAGGGCTGGGTTGGGAATTATTTGTTCTAAATGCTTGCTGGTGTTGGGATGCTGTTTATGCCTAATTAGGATAACTAGATCATTTGGGGTTTTGAGTCATGATGTTGAGGTGGTTTAAGTGATTGTATTCCCCTTGTTCGACTTGAGAGACATCTTTAGGGCAGGGATGCCTCTTCAGGGTCTGCGTGTCATCAATTATGAGTATTTAGTTTGGGCACCTTATCCTAACATGTACCAATTATCAAGCATGATAGATGTATAGAACATATTTCCTTTTGTTATTTTGTTGGTCATGTCACTTTGTGATTTGTGTTGTTACTTGTGCTATATCTTTGAAGCATGTAAACACTTCACATGAGTATTTTCAATGAAACACCACATGACACCCAAAAAGTGCAGCTGTGGATTTGGGTGCTGAAGGTGTGGGGTTGGCAAGCATGATGAATTCAAAGCTCTGTGAACCATTGCAGTTATTAATTTGCACCCTTTAACCCTATCCACCTAATATGGACCACTGCTCATGATTATATATGTTGACCCTAACAGTTTACTCATGATTATATATGTTGAACCCTCACACTTTACCTATTTCTTTACCTTTTAATCTTCTGAGCCCAATGGTTACTCTGTTAGGGATTCATATGAATGATACTCCTTCCTGAATCTGTGTAATTGGCTAATTGCATATATGTTCTCACAAATATTTCTCCCTCAAATAATTGCATGTCTTATCTTTTTTTTCCCCCCTCCAACTTCATTTTCATTGCCATTTCTGTTCTCTGATCCTGTCACTGCTTCCCCTTGTTTATTTTGGTTTTTCTTATAGTTCTTCTTATGACCTAGGATTCTTAGTGTTCTCAAATTGAAATTTGGTGGTGCTTTGCATTCTTGAATCCTTATTAGGTTATTCAGCTATATATCACACAACCCAAACTATGGTATCATAGTATCTCATCAAGTGTTGGGATGTCCTTGAGGGGGGTGATTTTCTAACATTCTGTTGGAGCTTTTATACTTGCTTTATACATATTACTTTAATCTTTCATACAAAGTCACACGGTGTCTGACTGAATTTCTAACACTGATATACAAAATTTTAATGCTGGTGGGCTTAAACTTGACTCTTCTGCTTCTTGTGACATAAGTTTCGGAGGGTGTTTGTTTGCTTAACATGATAGCCTTTCTATTTCTAAGTGGGAGCTTAAGCTTGAATAATCTTTTGCTTCTTGTGACATACATTTTAGACTGTTTTTGCTTGCTTTGTTAGCCTTATTATACCTAGGGCAGCAGTGGTATGCATTGTTTTCATAATTGTTTGAGGCGTACGCCTTGGGGAGAGGCCTTAGGATTCCAAACCTGAGGCGCCTTCTCAGGTTAGCTGAAGCGTACGCCTCAGTCAGAGAGAGGCACATATTGAGGCGGTGAGTGGTGGTGAGGTGGAGGCCTCTAATGATTTCTGTTTAGCCAACTGGTTCTTTTCTAGAGAAAGAAGATGAACCTAAAAGTTGTACTTTTTACTTAAAGACCCAAAGACCAGCTGTTTCTACAATAAAAGGCATCCTTCAATAAAAAAGACTGTTGTACTTCCACTTTGTGTGCGTTTATATGTATAATCGGTGTCTTCAATTTGTCAGTCACTATTCTTGCCGTGCTTGAATATTATATACACACACACACATATATATATATTGTATTATTTGTATATATATTTTGTATAAATACTTTAATTATATATATGTCCAGAATTTTTGTGCTATATATATATATAGTAGTAAATACAGTGTATTGTACTATTTTTATATATTTAGTATATATATTTTGTATTATACATATACACACACACATCCGCCTCGGGGTTTACGCCTTGCCTCACCGAGGGAAAACGCCTCGAGGCCTGATTCTGTTTTTAAAATCTTGGTGGTATGACAAATAACTGAATTGATTTGATAAAGAAAATGGTGGATTATCTTCTTGTGAGCAAAGGAAAACTGTACATTTTCTGTAGTTGATTTTTTGATGTTTCTATGTTTATGTTATCTTTAAAGATTAGTATGTATTCCTGTCATCCAACATTGAAAAAGTGCACCTTTTGAAGTGATTTTAGGCTGTTGTGTAAGCTTGAGAAGAGTAGTAGCATGTTGTAGTAAGCTTGCAGAAGTATATAGGTCGGTGTTCATGGTTTCTATTAGGATTTATGGTTTTAGATATTTCAAGGAGGTACCAGTGGAGCACTCTACATGAGTTATTGCTGATGTTTTAAAAGACAAATTATTGATTATCTTACAAGACTAATGCATCTTAATATATGTAGAAATAGAAGTCATCTACTCTTGCAATCTGTGAGCTGAACCCACTTGTCCTTCTCATGTATTGTGCTTTTTGAACCTCCAGCTTCTTTATAAACTACAAACGGCATAGTTGTTTGTGAAACCAATCTTAGCTATTTATTCGAACTAAAAATGCCAACCTAGCCTACATTTATGATTTGTTGTTTGAGATGGGTGAAACTATTACTTGGATATGCTTTCTGTAAGGATTTTATGTCTAGAGGCGAAAGTACTACTGTACTACTCATATGCTTTCTGTAGGATTTTTTGTGAGCAGACTTGTAATGTCTTCATTCATAAATATTGAAAATTTGCACCTCTCCCAACTACATAGCTTGTTCAATAGCATTTCTTTTTCATGTTTATTTAATTTGAGCTCTAAATTGGCAAGGAATCTGTGTGCTTAGCTATCACCCAAAATTTAATCTTGTTTGATTTAGATTTTGAAGTATACACTAGCTTGTAAATGATTGCACCTGGTATCAATAAGTGATCCTGTAATTGATAGTTTTATTTAGATTTTCTTACATGTGTTTGACAAGGTTAAGGTTCTACTTCATATTTGTGCATCCATAGTCCTTTCAAATATATTGTTAGATAGGCAAAATGTTTCAGTGACTGGTATCTTTTTTGATCACATTTCATGTTTTGCTTATTTTGTTGGCTTTGCTTTCTTAACTATATACCTCATGTGTGTGTTTGCCTGTGTAAATCTTACCATATTGGTTGTTTCAGTGGCATACAAGCTGTCCAAGAGAAAGGCTGATGATAACTTGCAGTCACTGCACAACATTCTTTTTGGAAAACGAGCAAAGGTGAAAAGTCTTATACTGAAAATTTAAACCCGTTTGTCAAACTTTTTTCCTCTGTTTATCTGAACTTTGGTCCACTCATGACATACCTGTGTATGCATGTATCTTTCTTTTCATACATATGACAGCTAACTTTTGCTGGTCATGTTGTTTTCTGATTGTTGATTGCGATGCATGCCCTTGCAGATGAACACTTTGAAGAAGAACATTGGCATGTTTTCTGGCTTTGTCTGGGCTGATGATGAGGTGAACATTTCTGCTTTATTGAATATCGTGTTTGTGAGTTGGCATATTCTACTTGATCTCTTACATGTTTCTGATTATCCCTTTCTTCTGTGCCGTCCACTTCTTTGTTTTTCTTCCCCATTCACTTTGACAGTGAAAATTGATAGGAGATGGTCACATTCCTGTATGATTCCGCATTTACCCTTGCAATAAGTAAAAAATGAAAATGAAAATAAGGCAGATCCTGATGCAAATGAGAAATCATTTAATCAAACTTGTGGGTGCTCAGTCTTCAGGAGGTTTGAGTAATAAGAAATGATTAAATGCATATAAGTCTTTAAACTTACCCTTGCAGCAGTAAGTAAGCAAATACAAATTATAAATTGAACAGATCCTGATGCAAAATGACAAATGATTAGCATGATCAGAACTTGCTTTTTTTGGTCATTATGAGCTTAACTTTGATGACTCACTAGGAGACATGACAGGACCAGATCACTGTCTTATGTCTTAAACTCCTATGATCAGTTTCTTTGTAAATTGTAACCCAGTTTCTGGTGAGTTAATTGTGTACATGCGATTATTTTCTTTACACTATTTTTGCCAAGGAAAAGCAGAAACTTGATGAACATAAAGGCAAAGCACATGGCACAATCTTGTATGGTTATCATTTGTCATATTCAGTAAATACCAATTTATGATCAACCATAGATGTGGCAAATTGTTACTCCATTCTTGACTAAGTGAACAATTAAATAGAAGCTGCCTATGGAAATATTAGACCCTTAATAATAGGAATAGGAAGAGTGCCATATTTCTTGAAAAAGACAGTTTTTTGAAGAAGTTCATTTTATGCATCGTGAGATTCTTACGTCTCGGTGGGGATCTTTACCTTAAAAGAAAACTTTTGTGGGTCCTTTTTGCACTTCCCAACTGTTTCTATGTAGGAGTGATGGCAACCACTGATCGTTCTTTTTTGATCATATTTGTGGTTATAAATTATACCTAAAATGAGTGGCTGTGTTGTTGATTTGTTTCTGCAGCAGGAAAAGCAAAAGACAAAGTTGAAGGAGAAACTTGACAAATGTGTTAAAGAAAAGTTGTTTGATTTTTGTGATGTCTTAAATCTTCAAATTCAAAAGTCATCTCTTAAGAAGGCAAGCATTCATTTTAGCATCATCTAATCTGAACCATGCACTATGGTACACACTGTTCTGAACATCATGTCATTGTGGGCATATATTTCAGGAAGATGTTTCATTAAAATTGTTAGAGTTTCTACAATCTCCACATGCTACAACTGAAGTCCTGCTTGCTGACAAAGAACAGGTTCGTATTCCTCTCAAATCAATACATTTCCCCAGTCCCCACTTGATGTTTCTTTGCAGAAACTGATTTTCAAGGGTGCTATATTTAATCATCCCAGTTTGTCACCATGAGAAAGTGTGAGACTAAGATCCATTTTTTAGTGCTCCATGACAGCTTGTATGTTTTGTTCTCTCTATATGATGGTTGCGGTGAATAAATTAAGCAACAATAGCAGTGTAAGCTAAAATATTGTTTTCCTTTAATTTCAGAAAGGTAAAAAACGAAAAGTGAAGGCAAGAAAGAGCAGAACCCCATCAAAGGTTTGTGTTTTCCCTACCTCTGAAATGTATATGCATGATCATTTAAGTGGACAATGTTGGTTGAAATCTTGACTAGTATTGCAATATTTTAGTCGATCTATGTGATGAAGATTGAAGACTGATGCTTGCTACATTATATCTTTCTGATTGTGTTTATTTGCATGTATCAATGATGATGCAACACAAAGCCTTTTAATCCTATCAGCTGCACAGGCTAAACATGATGAGTAATATAGCACACATGACAATAAAGAAATTACTATCTAATAATCAAATGATTAGTTGTGGTTTGTTAGAGAAAATTCCATTTGGGTTTTATGGTGTTCGTTTTGCATTTATCTATATGCAGCATGCTGATGTGCTGAAAGCTGTTTCTTTTTTGTGGTGGGTGTGGTTTATTTTGCTGCAACATTTTATGTCCGACCACAAAGTTGATGGAATTTTATGATTCTGGTTTTAATTCCTCTCTTATCAAATGCAACTATGTTTATTCCCCACATTGTCATCCTACTCAAAATTATTGGTTGATAGAAAAAAGAACCCCAAACCAGATAATCCTAGTATGTCTCTGGGGTAGGTGAGATGTACGCATACCTAACCTTACCCTGGATGGTAGAATGATCATTTCTGTGAAGGTCCCCGACCTGCAAAAAATTGTGTGAAAAAGAAAGCTTGCAAGAACAATCTGAAACCATGAGAAACAAGGAGAAGGTGGAAAAGGAATACAATATTAAGCAAGAGAAGACGATTGAAAGAAGACAAAAGACTTGAAAAAAGTAAGTAGCACCATATAATCAAAAGTAGGTACAAAGGGACATAAGGAAGGTAAAACAGTGAGACATCCTCTAGTCTATCGTATTCGTAGGACTCTGGCAGCTCATCTCTCGGATCACTACCCAACCCACCCTCTACCTCTTGAGTGCCCTTCCTCTAGTTTGAGACTAGCTATGAATCTCTACCTCTTGTTTTCTCTGCTAATCTTGCATCTTCTACAACTCCTATCAGAGGTCATGTCATCAGAATTGCCTAAGGCTTCCATGTCTATCCTCAGTTGCGCAACCAGAAAAAGAAACCCCTACTTGACCCCATATATGATGTTGCTGGAAGAATCTATCTCAACATCTTTACCAGGACTGCCATAGTTATCAACTTATCATGCAGTATGCTTTAGATGGCTATAGTTGGCTGAGAAAGATAAGTCATGTGGGGCAGTGTTCCCACATACAAAGAGGTGGGAATCTGCCTGAGTTTATAGCTAAATTATTACAACATTTGTAATTTGCTATAATCATGTAAATGGTGATTTAGTGTTATATATGGATTTGGTCATGAAGGAGGAGGTAGAGGGAAGACATGCTTAATTTTTCTCAAGTTGGCCAAGAGTGAAAGTGAATGGAAGTTGTGTTTGAGGTTTTAAGTGATTAGTTTGTCAACCTGCAAATGAATTGCATAAGTTCATACAACTTTGAATTTTCATTCTCATGTGTGCTTTCTGGGCTTTTTTTTAATTACAGTTTTTGGTGTCTTTTTGACTTGATCTTGTTGCTTGCTTGCTCCAAATCCCCAAAATGTGCAATTGTAACATTGGACTGTTATGCAAATATGTATGGATTATACATGGAAATGGAATAGTAATGCCAAATGATGATGCTTATGAAATTTCATTAGTTATTTGTGGCATCATCATGTTGGTGTTTGGAGTTTGCTATTTTAAATGAAGATATCAGATATTTTCCATCTTTATAACCGTGTTCATGTTTTGAGTTGTTACTTTTGGATTTGGTATTATGAGTCTTGATCAAATTTTCTACACTTAAGACCGTTATAATGTAGATATGATCTTCCTTTTTCCTTCTATAGAAACAATCTGGAGAGAAGCGCAAACGTTCATCCAAGGCTCAGGAAGAAAATGTGGATGAAGATGAAGCTTCAGAGAGTGAAGATGATTCTCAGGAGGAAGATGACAAGGTTACACCTTCAAAAGCAGAAAGTGACGAGGAAGAAAATAAGTCAGAAGAAGGTGGTGAAGAGGAAGAAGAGGAGGAAGAAGAAGAACCAGAAAAGCAGCTAACAAGTGAAAAGAGTTCTTCAAAGAAGAGTGTTAAGAAGGATTCTGGGACTAAAACTGGAGAGAAGTCCAAGGCTAATAAAAAAGATAATTCCCCTAAGGATGTGAAATCACCCACCAAATCCGATAAAAAGTCTTCTACTTCTGCTTCGAAAAAAGGTGCTGATGCTTCTGGTAGTTCTAAGGTATCAAGTAAGAAATCCAAAGAAGAAAAGAATAGCAAAAAGGTAGAGACTTCTGTGGCTAAGGATAAAACCTCTGGCAAGAAAGAGTCTGCAAAGGCTTCTACAAAAGATCAAGGTACATATGTTTTTTTTTTGTTAATCGATTCACTATTACATGCTTTCATTAGTAATCATGAAGATCCTTACACGACATCATCATTCAAGTGTCACACTAGCAATTTTTTTGTGTGCTAGTGGTTCCAAATACAGACGTATTACTGATAAATAAATAATATCATTCTACAGGCAAAGGAAAAACCAACAAGAAGGCGAAGAAAGAACCAACAAATGAAGAGATGCATGCGGTGGTTGTTAAAATTTTGAAGGAAGTAGATTTCAACACTGTAAGTGAATCTAATGTTCACCCTTTTATCTTGTTTTTCTGAATGAAGTTAATGGCTAATGTCACTAATATAATCTTTTTTCTTATGATGCAGGCAACTTTATCTGATATCATCAAACAACTTGGTATGCTAACTTCTCTTTTGTTCTCCACAAACATGAAAGCATGGTGTAAGAACTTCATCTTTTTCCAGTTTTTAGCCAACCTCGTTAATTTTGTTGTTTTAGGTGCCCATTTTGGTCAGGATCTATTGCACAGAAAGGCAGAGGTGAAGGCCATAATCACTGATGTCATAAACAGCATGTCTGATGATGAAGAGAAGGAAGAAGAAGAAGAAGCAGAAGGTAGCGATGAGGATGAAGATGAAGATGGTGATGATGATAATGACAATGATTCATAGGCTGTGTAGGTGTTATCTATAACAGTTAGATAAACATGTCTAACATAAGGAAAGAACAAGGTGGCTACCAGAGGTAATCAATGTACAGAAATTACCATCAGCAGTTTCTGTGCAGGATACACCAAGAACTTGGCTGTTCTCATGTGTTCTATAACTTTTACTTGCATTATTTTGTACCATAGATCGGGAGCTCATTTGGTAGAAGAACTTGTTTGTTTTGATGGGCTTTTGTAGTTTTCTTAGGTTTTGTTGACACCAGTCAGCTTATAAATTTTCTGCTGTAGTTTGTTTTACCGATTGAAGTTTAGCTCTTAGAACTTAAATTTGCAGAGTTGGTATGGATTTTAATGGGAGTATATGAACGTTTATTTATCTGATCCATGTGCACTAAATAACTACTGTTTTGGTGGTTGATGTTTGTAATTGCATCATGTTCTTGTGCTTTGAATGCTTGTTTCCATTCTGATTACTTTCCCTGTTTCATACCATTTGTAGAGAAAGCTTTTAAGTAGTCATTTTACAGAAAAATAGCAAAAAAAATCTCTGTATTTACTGGCGTAACTCATCATGAGTAGATATCTATCTACCGTTAGATCTTTACAGCTTTAGCCTAGCAGGTAAGGTCAGTATGCGCAAGTTTTTTGATCGGCCAATGTACAAGTACCTGTAAGTGGTCTGGATCGTGCCACAAATATACCAATTTGATTGAATATTGGTCATTTAATAGGCATTACTTTTGAAGATTGAATTTGCATAATGTTTAGAACTTTAGATGTGAAGGGTAGTTTAGTTTGTCAAGCAACCAAAATCTTGGATGCCAACCCCCACCAACCATACCACACCCTAAATTGTTGGTCCCATATGGTATTGGTAAGTACCAGTAGACTACCCACTCTCCTCCACACCATACACTTCAAATATTGTATCAATGTGTCAACAATATATGTATGCATTTGTATAAAATCTGGCTAAAATTAGGATTCAATTCTAAAAGTGGCTAAAAAGTGAATTTAGTTGAATAGATTTGATTATTTTGGACAATTTTGCCCATTATCTATATATGATAAAATTCATACTCATGTGACTTAAACTTGATTTCTAGAAAAGATGGGTTACCAGATACTGGTAAAACAATATTTTTTTGGTATGCATGTATTTTGTAAGCAGTGCAACACTTGTTCATAAGTTTTTTCACCCTTTGTTAAAAAGGTATGGGTGCATGAGTGTCGTATAATTTTGTTTATAATCTATTTGATTGTCTTAATACACCAACATCAGGCAAAAATAAAGATTCACATGATTTTAATTTTAATCAATAATATTTTCTTCCCTAAACTTGATTCTACCTTTCAAATAACAACATAATATAAATACCATAACTAACCTGTTCTTTTTGAAGTATATAATATTTATATACAACAAATAAACTCACACACACACACACCCTCCTCACCTATGGTGAGCTTTGAGCCCCTGACCTCCTAGGAGGCCAAAAAATACGATACTGCTAAGCTAAAAACCCTTTGATAACCGGTTTAATTTAGTGTTTCATGTAAAGAAACATAATATAACACTATTATAACCATACTTTTTTTTCTTTACCATAATATAAAAAAGACAAACCACAAGGGTGGTGCCTGATTGATTTGAGCTTGAATCCAAAGGTCAAAAGTACCAGGAGGTCCCAAGTTCAAATCCAAAAATAAAAATAAAAATCCCCTTGTGCCATGGAGGTTCAAATGCGGTGACTCCGGGCTATCTGCAAAACAGGTGGTCGCCCTGAGATTAGTCGACTCGTATAGCGGGTTGGATATCCAAGTTAATAACAAAAAATAAAAAAATAAAATAGACAAGCAATTATTAAAAACAAATATATAATTAAGTCTTCTCCACCCTCTCTAATTATTTAATGTGTAAGGTAAACCAATAATGAAAGAAAAACCCCCAAATTTGATCACATGTCACTTTCATTTTTATTGTTAACCAAAATATTATGTTGTTCATCTTCCCATATCTTGTATCAATCTCTATATAAAGACCCATAATTTCTTCCCAATGAATACACCATTTTGGTTTTCTACTCTCATCTCCCAAAATTAAAGGTACAATCATGAAAGATGCATGTTGTAGTATGATCATTTGCATGCTCCAAACTCACACTTATCTGTCAATTGTTATACATTTTTTTTACTGAAAAAACTTTTGATGGTTTCATAACAGGTTTTTCAAAATCAACAAGACTGCTAGAATGGTGACTACCGGAACCTACAGTGATAAGTCAGGGGTTGAATTGATTGTCACACGGATGGGAGAGCCGACGCTTGTGCAACCCTTTGAGGAAACTGAAAAGGGTCTCTATTTCCTGTCTAACTTGGACCAGAACATTGCTGTTATAGTGCGTACAATTTATTGTTTTAAGTCTGAGGAGAAAGGGAATGAGATGGCCGCTGAGGTGATTAAGGATGCGTTGTCTAAGGTTCTTGTTCATTACCATCCTGCTGCTGGAAGGTTGACCATTAGCTCTGAAGGGAAATTGATAGTCGATTGCACCAATGAAGGTGCGGTTTTTGTTGAGGCCGAGGCTAACTGTAATATTGAAGATATCGGTGATCATACAAAACCTGATCCTATGACTCTTGGCAAGTTGGTTTATGATGTTCCTGGTGCTAAAAACATTCTTGAAATTCCTCCGCTTGTTGTTCAGGTTAGTCGTTTTGATTGATCAATTTAACTAACCTCTTCTAACCAATGTTCTAAAAGCTTGTGACATGCCATGATCCAATACGTAGTTCTTATAACGCGATATTTGTTTTTAAAAAAAAAAAAAAAACGTTTTTAGGGTCTTACTTTTTAGTTTTTAGTATATGTCCTAATTTAGATGGTTTAATATAATTTTTCATCTGTTTTTCATGGTTTTCTGGTTTTCAATTTATTTAGCGTTTTTCCCTAAACCCGACCCTAAAATTATACATGTGATATATAGATTTGCTGTTATAGAGTTGAGTTCCGGTAAAAAGGAGAGTTGATGTGAGAAGCGTAAGAAGAGATCTCCACCATAAATACACATTAGGATGAGATGCACCAAAATGCACCAGATCAATCCTCCTATCAAGCGTGATTCATAAGTGGGTTTGAGATTAAAGTTGATCAAGAGTCCAAATTTCTTTTTAACATAACTCTCCTTCTCACCCTCACATCACAAATCACAACTGCTTTTTAAGTTGCAAGGAGTTGATATGAGAAAATCAAATTTATATTTGAATTACGCAACACTATTTCTTTGGTCTAAAACTATGGCAGGTTACAAAATTCAAATGTGGAGGATTTGTGCTTGGACTGGGGATGAACCATAATCTGTTCGATGGAATTGCCGCCATGGAATTCATCAGTTCTTGGAGCCGAACCGCCAGAGGCTTACCGCTAGAAGTGCCTCCATTCCTCGACCGGACGATTCTCAACGCCAGAAACCCTCCCCTCGTCGAATTCCCTCATGATGAATTCGCCGAGATCGAAGACGTATCAAACACCGTTGATCTCTACAAAGAAGAATTAGCTTACCGCTCGTTTTGTTTCTCACCGGACGACATTCAACGCCTCAAAATCAAAGCCACCGCAGACGGCGACATGCCGACTTGCACCTCTTTTGAAGCTCTATCGGCTTTCGTCTGGAAAGCCAGAACCGAAGCACTTCAAATGAAACCAGATCAGAAAACAAAACTCCTCTTCGCCGTAGACGGACGCTCCAGATTCGAACCACCGTTGCCGGAAGGATACTCTGGTAACGGCATCGTGCTAACCAACTCTATATGCAAGGCCGGAGAACAGATAGAAAATCCGCTGTCGTTCACGGTGAAGTTAGTTCACGAGGCGGTGAAAATGATTACTGATGGTTACATGAGATCTGCGATTGATTATTTCGAGGTAACAAGAGCTAGGCCATCACTGGCGTCTACGCTGTTGATCACCACATGGTCAAAACTATCATTCCACGCCCAGGATTTCGGTTGGGGCGAGCCGATTATGTCAGGTCCGGTGGCATTACCGGAGAAAGAAGTAATCCTGTTCTTATCACATGGAAAGCAGAGGAAAAGTGTGAATGTGTTGCTTGGATTGCCTGTTTCCGCCATGAAAACCTTCGAAGAACTCATGAAGCACATCTAGATCTACAAAATCAAGGTTCATCATGGAATTACTATCTGTTGCCAAAATATTTGCTATTTTTTTCATGATTTTTATCTTTAAATTTACAGAATTCATATCGATATCATATATTGAAAGCTCGATTCACTTGACTGAACTTGTATTGAAGACGTGGAAAGCTAGATCTATGAATGATGATTTGTGTTTTTGCTAAAAAGTCTATTTCCGTGATCGTGATAGAAATTTATTATAACATTCATGCTACATACATATGTTTTTTTTTAATTAATCTGGAACCGCTATGCGAGCCGACTAATCCCAAGACGACCACCTGCTTTGCAGATAGCTTGAAGTCACCGCATTTGAACCTCCGTGGCCATAAGGGGATTTTTATTCCTTATTGGATTTGAATTTGGGACCTCCATGTACTTTTGACCTTTGTAGCCAAGTTTAAACCAATCAGACACCATCATTGTGGTTATGTTTCTTGCATCTATATATTTTGGAGTTCTCTTTTTTTTAGAAACAACAATCTTATTAACGAACCACCGAAGGCTAGCAAGAGGCTAGCGCTAACAACAAAGTCGATAAAGGGCTGATACACCAAGCGTTTCAGTCGAGATTATTACATGATTTCAATCTAACTCTAAGCCAGTTATACGAAAAAAACACGATCACCTTGGAAAGCACCACAGGAGGATATCACATACTACACAAATCAAGGAATTCCCAATCAGGAAGAAGAATATCTTAAAACATTGTTTGACAAATATAAACTAGCTTATTTTTTGAGTAATCATTTGGATCTACGTAAACTAGTTTATAAGATAACTTATTGTAGGCCACTTGGAGTAGCTTACGAGGAACTTTTTGATACTTTTTTCAATTATAATTTTGTTTAATATTAATTATAAATTATTATTATAAATTATAAATAAATATTAATTATTATTAAATATTAACTATAAATTA